TTTTTAGACAATTTTTTTTGATAAGAAGCACATATTAAAGTATTATAATAGATGAAAAATTTTAATATATTAAAAGAATAATTTAGTAAATTTATAAATTATTAAAGATATATATTAAAAAGAACAAAATAATAAATTGCAATTCGGTTTTTTTGGACTATTCGGTTTTTACTTTATAAACCAAAGTCAATCCGAAATCCAAAATAATGATTCGGTTTTGCTAAAAACCAATCCAAAAATGTGAATATCCGAACCAAATAGTCTGATCCAAATTGTCCAATCGGACAATTCGGTTTTATCCAAATAGTGAACCGTCCTAGTCATCATGCTACGTTAGCAGGAAACCGGGTTGACCGGTTAAGTGGTCAGAATTGTAAAAAATTGGAAAACACAGTGTCAATTTTGAGACAAAAAAAAACACAATGTTAAATTAGAATTTTGGTGTAAATTTAGTGTATTTTGTGCTATTTACCCTATTTTCTAACGTATATGTAAAAATAAATTATATAAATTTTAAAAATAGTAAAATTTTGGTAGTGACGACGACAATGGTGGAGATAAGTGATGGTAGTGGTGGTGGCAGCGGCGATGGTGACGGTTGTGACGGATGATGGCGGTGTTGGTGGCGGCGGCGACAGTGGTGGCGTCGATGGTGGTGGTGGCTGGTGATGGTGGTGGTAGTGGCGGTGGCGGCGGTCGTGGTGGTGATGGTGATAATAATGGTGGTGGTGGTGGAGACAACGGTAATAGTGGGGACGATGGCGGTAGCGGCGGTGGTGGTGGTGGCGATGGTGTGGTGGTAGCGGTGGTGGTGACAGAGGTCGTTGGTGGTCGGTAGCAATATAAGTGGGTGTTGGTTTTCTGATAAAGGGAGTATTTTTGTAATCTGTCATTATCGTTGATAAAAATGAATGTTTTTATCCAAATTTGGAAGGAATCTACTTTCCTCCATATGGTGAAAAATTTATTTCATTTAGGAATCTCTTTCTCCCTCTAAATCGAACCAAACGCATAAATTTGAGGTAATTGGAATCATTTCCCTCTGATTCCATTCATTTTCTGTCAACCAAATGCACAATTGTTGATCCATTTAAATTTTCTTGCAAGAGGCATTTTAGCATCTATCTTGATTGGAGATGATTTTTTTTTTTGAAATTTTTTATTTTAAGATTAAATGAAATGTGAGAATACTTTATTTATGATTTTCAAAGTAGTAAAGAAAATAATCTCACAGATGCCAAGTACAAAATTCGTAGAAGACTCCTACAAGATAAAGAGTTGACGAAAAAAAATAATTTACTTGAAAGTATTCTTATTTGTACAGGTGATTGGGAAAATAATAAATAAAAAAATTTAAAAAAAAAAAAAGTAGAAGATATGTTCTTGAGATAAATGGAACCATCTCCAATAGAAATTAATATGTAATCGAAGGTTAATAAATTTGGGCTACCACCACCTCTATGCTCCTTGACTCCTTGTGAAAAAAAAAAAAGAAAAAAAAAACATCTTATATGGCTATGCAATATAGTGGTCTAAGTTGATACATTTTAGTTTAACAAAAGTAAATTTGTGAGTGTTCTATGAGACTTGTCCAAAATTATTTGCGTAAACCTTCCCAGCCTTAATGCTTTTTTGCGAGTTTGCTTTGATTATTTATTGCAAATTGTGTGCACTATGTTTATGCACAGAAAGGGATTCATATTTATGTTAAGTGTGAATAATTGTTAATGGAATTTCTTTCAATTGGTATTATATGTCAATATTATGTATTGACGTGTGCAACTTATTCATGACTTTGGATGATGTGTGAAACCTAAATAATGTTATTACTTTTTTCTTTTAAATGTCCAGCTGAGTATAACAGCCCATATGTAAGAGTTTGAGGAAGCCCACTCTTATCAGGAGACTTAAGAGAATACCCACCACACCATAATCATTTTTTTTAAGGCTTTAGCCTTCGGGTATATATCTCCCCCCCCCCCCCCCCCCCCCCCCCCCCTCACAACAAATTTTTTACCCATTATATGGCACCTTCAACACATCATTAAGAGAATACCCACCACACCATACCACAATCTTTTTTTTTAGTTTCTCTATTTTTATTTTTTCATTTTATCATTAATTATAAAAATAAATTATATAATTTTATAAAACCTATCATTTAAATAAAAACATAACATTTAAATTGAAAATAAAAACATTATAAGACCAAAAAAAAGTTACGATAAATTAAAAACATACAACGATCCTAGCAATTTAAATTTATTTCCTTAATGCTTTTGCCAGTGTTCGCCTTCAACGCTTGCACTACTTCAAGATCTTCAGGCGCCAAACATTCGGTGCTTGTCCTAAGAATTGTAAAGTAATTTATGAGGTCTTTTCGCTCTTGTCGCTCTCGATCTGCCGTTTCGTGTTGTCGAAGTATTTCCAAGTGCTCACGTCTCAAAATAATATTTTATTGTTGCAATATTATGTGTTCCTGGAATAACACTTCGATTTTTGTCATATGTTTCGCTTTCACTTCACTTTCTTCCGCATGTTTTAACGCGCGCTTCGCTTTGTCACGTTGGTCGCCGATGACGAGAGATCTCTTCGATGTTGTCTGAAATTGCATCAGCGTTGTCATTAAGATCTATGTGAGTCCTGCATCGTCGACCGAATTCAAATTTCTTGACCTGTTAGATTGCATCTCCACTTTGTAACACCCATTTTGTAAGTATAAGTTAAATTCATGGATTTATTTAAAAGTTTTAAGATTTGGGGATTTTTACAAAGCGCATCGCGACTTCTAAAGTTCATGAAGTCACGTGTGTCTATATATATATATATATATATATATATATATATATATATATATATATATATATATATTTCTAAAGAAAAGAGAGAAGGAACATGAAAGGGGAACCACCCTCGCCAAACCGCACCGAGGGTGTGGTGTTTCTGGGTACGGTTCGGTAACTGCACAATACGAAAAGATAGTACATTGTCCGGTCTCATATAGTATATACTCATTCCTAGGCTCCTAGCCTTGATGTTAACCTAAATAATCAGGTCAAAGTTTTATAGGATAAAAATTCAATGTTAATAATCATTTAAAAAATGAATTTTTTGTTATATTAACTTCAATCTTAAGTCCCTTTTTGTCGTGTCTTCTGCAATAACTAGGGGTGACAACTCTCGACCCAACCTCTAACTCGTCACTGTACCAACCCGAAAATAGACAAGTTTGGGTTGAGATTTTTGACCTGTCAACCCCGCCAACCTGCTACCCCGTTTATTTCATAGGTTGGGGTGAGTTACGTGTTTGGATTCGTGAGTCAACCCACCAACTCGTATATTTTGTATCATTGTATTCCTTCGCCTTCCGTATTTGTATAAATGTGTGGCTAGTTTTTTGCGGTGCCTTAAGCAAAAAAGAAAACGCACATACTCAAGAGTCACGGACGAAGAACATATCATTGTATTAATTATGCTTTTTTCTATTCATTATGCAATTGATTTGAATGTGGTTGTTGACAACCTATCTCAAAATGTAATGAATTTAAACAACAAGGAAGACAATATAGAGGCTATAAATTCCAACATACTTTAAGTTGCCATTTGGTGAGTTCTTTATAACACAAATAGTAGAAGACATAAAATTATTTATGTAGCTTTCAAAAGATCATAAATTTAATTTTGCATATTGTTTCTATTTGAAGTCATCATGAAGACATGAAAAAGTCGATGTTAGAGGAAGAAATGAGAATTCTAGCATGAATGAATTATCGAATTGGTTTTTGGATATTTTTAAACAATTGCATTTTGTTTGAATGTTTTCATTTTTCAATTTTATTTGGATGTTAATGACTTTATGACTTTACATTGAAAACCTCTTTTTTTTTTATTTTAATGACTTTAATGACTTTATGATTTTATTTTGAAAAAACCTCATTTTTTGAAAATGTGTTTCTTATTTATTAGAAGGGTTATACGGGTTGAGTTCGACTCACTTACCTGTGAACCCGCAAACCCATATACTTAAACGGGTTATATGGGTTGGGTTGGGTTGAGGTTTCCAACTCGCTAATCCGTGACCCACCAATCCGCTAAACCATATATTATATAGGTTGTGTTGAGTTTATGTTTTCTAACCCGTTAACCCACCAATCCGATTGTCATACCTAGCAATAACAGTTACAAGTCTCATTTATTATACATGGCAGGATAAAAACATGATGCAATGTGTTCGTTCATCATTGAAAATAGCATATATATGCATAGCTTTGTTGATTTTAATTTGGTCATTTAGTCCCCATGTAAATGAACAAAATAGATAAATGGTGAAATCTATAAATTTGGACAATATTTGAGTGTCAATATTTGACAAAAACTTTCATCACCATTCAATTATTTAAAATATACACTTTAAGGATCACAAAAGATGCACTTTTTCAGTTTTTCTAGACCATAATCTTACCAACTAATTGCTCTATTTACTATACCATAGTTTACTCTATTTGGTCACGTCTTTCTTTCTCATGTTGCTCAATGAAATTCAATAACATTTATATTCATGTTTAAACCACAAAATAAAATAAATTAACGAAAACATTTTTTTTTATTAACGACAAACCATCTCAAAGCTGAAAGTTGATTTCTACATGACTCAATTCCAACGGATTACCACTAAGTTACTAAACCACCTTGATTGTAGTAAACTCAACGCAAGTTATATAACTTTAAATTTCAAATGAGAAAAAGGTCTCAATTTTGATTCTAACATTGCAAAATACAAATTATTAACAAATATATCAAGGGTCTGACTCATAATCTTTACCTTGCTCAATTCTAAATTATACAATCATTTCTAAATCAAACTCTCACAAAGATCATTGTCACCCAAACAACTCACAAACCTTAGGAGGTTCACCAATCACTCTTTACTCTTTCTTTTAACACCATATATCTTCATGTATATATACATCATCTTACACCCCTCTTCACATCTCATCTCAAACAATCTCAAATGATATTTGCATTTGCATTCTTTCATATGCAAAATCCCAAATTCACCAAAATGGCTCTTCTTTTCCTCACTTTCCTATGTCTCATTACTTCCTCAAGTACCAATTTCTTACATTAATTCTAATCCTTTTCCTTTATGGTTTTCATTCTAACCCTAATTTTTATTTTTAATTTTTTTTTTAAGGGGCGGCTATATTAAACCGGATCGGTATAAACTACGGAAGGCTAGGAAACAACCTTCCATCACCCGCGAAATCAATCGAACTTTTACAAAACATGAACGCAGGTAGAGTCAAACTGTATGATGCTGACCATGAAATCCTCCATCTTTTATCGGGGAAGAACATCGAGGTGGCAATTACAGTCGCTAATGACGAAATCTCCGCCATTGCTTCAAATCAACATTTAGCAGATCAATGGGTATACGAACACGTCTTAGCTCACTACCCTAGTACCAAAATCCGATTCGTGTTAGTAGGAAACGAAGTCCTAAGCTCCACAAACACAGTTCAAGATATGCAAATCGCAAAAGATCTTGTCCCCGCAATGAGACGTATCAAAAACACGATAAAATCACAAGGGATTCGGAACATCAAAGTCGGAACTCCACTTGCAATGGACATGATGGGAACGACGTTTCCGCCTTCAAACGGGAGTTTCAAGCCGGAGATGCGGGAATTGATGATTCCATTGTTGAAGTACTTAAATGGGACAAGATCTTTCTTCTTTGTGGATGTTTATCCGTATTTCGCGTGGGCGGAAAGTCGCGCGAATAATCAAACGGGGATTGATCTTGGGTTTGCTTTGTTGAGAAGTGGGAATATGACGTATACGGATCCACAAAGCGGATTGGTGTACACGGATTTACTCGATCAAATGCTTGATTCGGTTGTTTACGCAATGGCGAAATTGGGATATGATGATGTGATGCTTGCGATTGCGGAAACTGGGTGGCCACATGAAGGTGATTCAGATGAGTTTGGAGCGAATAAAGAGAATGCAGCTGAGTATAACAACAATTTGATAAAGAAAATGTCTGCAACTCCAAGTAATGGAACTCCAGCTAGACCAGGGGCGATTATTCCAACTTTTATATTTTCAATGTATGATGAGAATCAGAAATATGGACCTGCTACTGAAAGACACTGGGGGTTGATGAATCCAGATGGGAGTGCTGTTTATGCAGTGAACATAACTGGGAAGGTTAATCCATCTGATTAGTTATCATCACTTATCAGATTCGGAGATATCAGAGATTTGAATCTCAATAATTCTTAGTAAATAATGAGATTTTATGTTTGGAATTTGTTTTAAACCGAGTGATTTCGGGATTATTGGAAGTAATTAATAGAAATGTTTTTGGTTTAACAGTTTTTGTGTGAATGCTCGATGGTTGAAGGATTGATAGGAAGAATATGAGTATGAGTATGAGTCGGGAATTTGGGGTGAAAAAACCATAAAACTCGAACTAAACCGATAATTTAATTTCAAAGTTCATAAGTAAACAAGATCTATATAGGAACTGATAGATGAAGAGCGTATGAAGATGTTAACATTGATCTCGATGAATGAAAATGACATAATTAAAGAACTAATATCTGTAAAATACAAATCTCAAAGAATAGAAGATGTTAGAAAATCGAAAACAAATGGAGTGGAATTCACTGGATTAGAACACAGAGTACGAACATCTCTTCGGCCGGAGGAAGTGGTGTCATGGTTTTACCATGACAAAACACTCCACCTCAATTCCATATAGGATTGGGGTGTGGTAAAACCATAGGGTGGATGTGGTGGAGAAGAAAGGAAGAAGAGAGAGATAAAAGAGAGATGGTAGGAGAAGAGAGTGAGGAGAGAGGAGAGAGATGCGGCCAAACCGCATAAGACCAAACCGCAGTGGAGTGGTGGGGGCGGTGTTCCCCAGTGCCACTATGACAAACCGCAGGGGAGACCGTAGCCACTCTCTTTGGTCTTAGAGGCATTTTTCTCATTTTTGTTAATATTATTAGATTTTTTGGGAAATCTAATCTTTTTTTATTTAAGAACAAAAAAATAACCAATATAAATTTGTTTTTGAAAATTAACTATCATATTCGGAATTGACCATTTCAGAGTCAATTTCGGGTTGTGTACCCTATTCGGGCCATCAAAGACATTAATACGACTTGTTCCGAAGCTAAATTTACAAAACCGGGTTTCAACTTTTATTCCGACACATTATGGAGAAGTAACTACAAACCCATTCTCACCTCTACTACACATTTTGAGTTAAGAACCAAAGATATTGAAAGCGGTCTTGATGATCCGGTCGTTTTATGGGTATATCGTCATTTTGCGGGTATGTCCTTCACTCATACACTTTTAATAGTTTGATTTTAAGATTATTGTTTTAAGTAAGTTAGTCTGAAACACAAAAAACAGGTTCGGAATAGATTTAGGACCAACCTAAGAGTAGTTTACCTATATATGTTAGGGTATTATACATTGGAATTTGGTATTCCGAACATCTTTGGAATGTCCAAAATGCGGGGAACTAATCCGATCATCACATTTCGTTCTAGAACAACATTTAACTTATGATTTACATTAAAATTATTTTGTTTGTTTTCTTTTTGCAGGATGACAAGATTTATGAAGCATCAATTACACTATTTTGCAAACCCGCAATTGTTGCGGAAATTCTTGTGGAACTCAAAGACATACCACCACTCGAGACTATGTTCCGAAAGACCTATTTTGGGAGGTGGTTAGGTAATCTTGTGGGGGTAGAAGGGGATCTTTTACTTTTACATTACATGTTTTGCCACGAAGTTATGACGGACCCTCGAAGTGAAGTTGAGAAATGGTTTTTGAGATCGGAGGGTACGAGCTGACTTTCGTGAAGAAATAATTCTATCTTCTCACCGGATTCCACTTTGGTGAATATTTTCCTGCATCCATTTCGAACGTCGCCTTTTGATCTCGTGTATTTCCTATGGTTAAGAAGAATGTCTCCGTGAAATTAGAACGGGTGGTTCATGTGTTTGAAAATTCGTTTAATGACCTTATTGGACGAGGATGTGGTTGTGTATGTCTTCTATATCTGTTAGAGAATGGTTTGAACGAGTGGTTACCTCATCAGTCTGTGACAGAGGAGTATTTCGCTTTGCTATCCAATATTAATGAATTCAACATGTATCATGTCGTTAATTTGTAATTATCAATACTAATATTTTTTACAAATTTAATTGTGAACTTTTTCATGTAGTAGATATCCGTAAGGGAGAATAATTTGGGATCAATTGTACTCTCAACTATGTATTGTATTCGATAAGGTTGAAAATCCTATACATCTGGTGCTACCAAAACCTCAAAAAATAACCTACACCCTAAACGGATTTTTATACGCTTTTAAGGTAAAATACATGATTAACAATTAAATATTTTCCGTTTGCTAATATTCTAATACATGATTCTTTTAGGTATGGATTCTTGAGAGTTTTCATGTGAGCAGTTTGTTTGGTACTCGACAATCGAATGTGATCCCTCAGACTGTTGGATGGTCAAAACTGAAGAATATTTAATTGGATCAGTGCAAGAAGTTTCTAGTCGTTGCTAACGTATAATTACTTATATAATATATACTTCACACATATATTTATAATTTACGCATATTTATAACTTTACAATTTTGTTAGCAGAATAATAGAACTATAGAGAAGTTGGAGCCGACAGCGGATGAGAGTCATGTTGAATGGTGGACTTTTAGCTCGACATGGATTAAACAAATGCCCTGCTTTAGCTACCACAGACGTTCACATGACACCTTCTCTAACACCATCAACTCATCAATCGCCTACCTATGAGCCTCGACAAAAGAAGGCACAATCAGATGTTGTCAAAGGTTCATATGTATCTGACCCACCACCATCACCACCCACTATACCCTTAACTGAGAAGGTCCAAATTATTGAGTTGCAAAACGAGGTTCGTAAATGCCGCGAGTGTAACACTCCTATCCAGATATTCCGTTATTCACCCTCAAGTGTTTCAATTTGGTCAAAAATGGTCATTTCCATACATTGGGCGTACATTTGTGTACGCATAGCGTAAGTGTGTGAAGGCATCGGGTGGCTGGGGCTCGTACGATGGGCGTACGAGCATGTATGCGGGGCGTACATGGCGGATTTCTAAAACCCTAATTCTTTGACTTGCACCCTATTTAAGCAACCTTATATCATTTGGACCAAACCCTAATCAGCCCCCATAGCCTCATTTCGTCCCTTAACCCCAGATTTTCATGTAAGTGTGATCCTTGAGCTTAAAGAGTGTTTTAGTGGCCATTTTAGAGAGCATTCAAGAAGGAGAAGGTGGTGATCAAGTATTGGGTGTCATTGAGCTTCTAGATCTTACATCTAGTTCATCTTGAGGACCTTTTTGAGGTATAAAGTCATAACCTTGTCATCTTTTTTGTTAGTTTGAGCTAGGGTTTTGTTATGAAATCCCTTTTTGGTTCTTGGACCCTCTCTTGAGAGTTGAGCAACTACAGAGACTAGGATAGTTAGATCTAAGCTCTTTGAGCATGCTTGATGCATAAAGGTGCCATCTTGAAGGTTGTTTTGATATCATGCATGAGTTTGAGGTCTTAAATGAGGTCTTAATGGTGAGAATGAAGTATTGGGGACCCTTATGGCATGCAAGGGCATAAAGTTGCCAACTTTATGCCCTAGGACATCTTAATGGACTCAGATATGAAGTTTAACGTTGAAACCCCAAGTATTAAGCACTTAATGGTCGTTGGTGCATATTTTGCTTGTACGCCGATGTAATATTGTGTACGCTGTGCGTATAGCCAAGGGGATCAGTACGCAAAGCGTACTGGAGTGGTACGCTGGGCATACGCACCCTAGATGGGTTTGGGCTTCGTGTGGGCTTTTAAGCTTTTTGGGCCTTATTTAGTTTTGGGCTTGGTCCCATTTTGAGTTAGTGGTCTGATTATTCTGTTTTGGGTCATAGTTTTTTTGGTTGGGCCTTATTGGGCCATGTGGCCCATTAATAGATTTTATCTTGGATCCTAGGCCCATTAGTAAAGGAAAGACTTTTGGGCCACCATGTAAGGACTTAGGCTTAGGTTTTTGGACTGTTTGACTAGGTTGAGTTATAATCCTAATTTAGGGTTATTTGTACCATTGTTCAGTGTGAGGTTTTGGGCTGATAGGCGAGCAGCTATTGTGTTCAGCAGACTGAGGTGAGTTTTCTCATCATACCAATGGGTCGAAGGCACCAATGCCAGCCCATTATCTGATATGTAGTAATTAGTTGATATGAAATTGTATGCTTTGTGGTATGGATTGTTTTATATGAAGACCATGGGGGAGCCCATGGCACCTGGATATCAGACCATGGGGGGAGCCCATGGAATTCCAGGTAAAGACCATAGGGGGAGCCCATGATGCTTGGTTATCAGACTGTGGGGGAAGCCCATGGCATTCCAAGTAAAGACCATGGAGGGAGTCCATGGAAATTCATGTATGTCTTTCTATTACATGGTTTTTATGTGACTGTATGTGTTGTGTATTTTGGGAAACTCGCTAGGAGTTTGCTTATAGTTTGTTGGGTGTTTCAGGTACTTCTGACTCTAAGGGCAAGGGCCCGGCTTGATGGCGCAGTGTGCACTCTCTAGTATTCCGCACTAGTTGTTTTAGATACTCTGATCTTCTGAATAATGTATTATGTAATGGAATTTGTGGGAAACAAATATGCATATTATTTTTAGTTAACAAATGAAAATTTTTACCTAAATTTTTAGGCTGTTACAAGTTGGTATCAGAGCCTTGGTTTGAGGGATTCGGGCACACTCTTGGGTGTGTCAGGACTCAAACTGAGGAAATGGTAAACCCTTTTCAAAAATAAACCAAAAGTTAAATTTTTTCTTGAAAACGGTTTTAGTAAGTAAAAGGGGTGAGTGCAATACGCGTAATCGGTTGAGCTTAAGTAAGTGGTTCCAATGTACTAGCCATGCTATAGTTATATTTGGAAATTTATGTTGAATTGATTACTTTCTATGTGTATGCTTTCAAAGTTGTATATGTCTAGGATTGCATAGCCCTAGAATGATGAATTTTGCCTTATTTTTGTTCCTTGTTTGGTTGTGGTTTAGGGTAGAAGCTTATTTGACAGTTTATGTGATTCTATTTGTGTATAACTGTGACAACCGTCAATTTTGGGTCCAACAAAGTCAA